CATCCTTTTTATCCTTCATCCTTCTTATCCTTCATCATTCTTATCCTTCATCCTTTTTATCCTTCATCCTTCTTATCCTTCATCATTCTTATCCTTCATCCTTTTTATCCTTCATCCTTTTTATCCTTCATCCTTTTTATCCATCATCCTATTTATCCTTCATCCTTTTTATCCATCATCCTTTTTATCTTTCATTCTTTTTATCCTTCATCCTTTTTATCCTTCATCCTTGATCCTTGATCCTTGATCCTTGATCCTTGATCCTTGGTCCTTGGTCCTTGGTCCTTGGTCCTTTGTCCTTTGTCCTTTGTCCTTGATCCTTGATCCTTGATCCTTGATCCTTGATCCTTGATCCTTGATCCTTGATCCTTGATCCTGGATCCTTTGTCCTTTGTCCTTGATCCTTGATCCTTGATTCTTGAGCCTTGATCCTTGATTCTTGATTCTTGATCCTTGATTCTTGATCCTTGATCCTTGATCCTTGAGCCTTGATCTTTATTCTTTATCCTTTATTCTTTATCTCTCATTCTTTATCCTTGATCCTTGAAATTTGATGCTTGATCCTTGATCATTTATCCTCGATCCTTGATCCTTGATCGCTCATTCTTGATTATTGATGCTTGATCCTTGATTCGTGATCATTTATCTTTGATCGTTGATTCTCGATCCTTGATTCTTGATATTTGTTCCTTAATTTTCGATCCTGGATCATTGGACCTTAATCTTTCATCCTTGATCCTTTATCCTTTATCTTTTATCCACTATCCTTTATCCTTTACCTTTCACCCTTAGTCTTTTATCCATTATCCTTTATCCTTTATCCTTTGTCCTTGTCCTTTATCCTTTATCCTTTGTCTTTTGTCCTTTGTCCTTTATCCTTTATCCTTTATCCTTTATACTTGATCTTTGATTCTTGATCCTTCATCCTTGATCCTTCATCCTTGATTCTTGATCCTTGATCCTTGATACTTGATCCTTTATTCTTTATCCTTTATTCTTTATCTCTCATCCTTTATCCTTGACCCTTGATATTTGATGCGTGATCCTTGATCATTTATCCTCGATCCTTGATCCTTGATCGTTCATTCTTGATTAATTATGCTTGATCCTTGATTCGTGATCATTTATCTTTGATCGTTGAATCTCGATCCTTGATCCTTGATATTTGTTCCTTAATTTTCGATTCTGGATCATTGGACCTTGATCTTTGATCCTTTATCTTTTATCCAATATCCTTTACCCTTCATCCTTTATCTTGTATCCATTATCCTATATCGTTTATCCTTTGTCCTTGTCCTTTATCCATTATCCTTTATCCTTTGTCCTTTGTCCTTTGTCCTTTGTCCTTTGTCCTTTGTCCCTTATCCTTTATCCTTTATCGTTTATCCTTTATCCTTTATATTTTGTCATTTGTCCTTTATCCTTTATCCTTTATCCTCTCTCCTTTATCAGTTATCGTTAATCCTTTATCCTTTATCCTTGATCTCTGATCCTTGATCTCTGATCCTTGATCTCTGATCCTTGATCTCTGATCCTTGATCTCTGATCCTTGATCTCTGATCCTTGATCTCTGATCCTTGATCTCTGATCCTTGATTCCCGATCCTTGATTCCCGATCCTTGATCCTTGATATTTCTTCCTTAATCGCCGATTCTGAATCTTTCATCTTTGATCCTTTATCCTTGATCCATTATACTTTATCCTTTATCTTTCATTCTTCATCCTTCATCCTTCATCCTTCATCCTTCATCCTTCATCCTTCATCTTTTATTCTTCATCTTTGATCCTTGATTCTTTATCCTTGATTCATCGTTGATTCTCGATCCTTGATCCTTGATATTTGTTCCTCAATTTTCGATCCTTGATCATTGGACCTTGATCGTTGATTCCTGATCCTTTGTCCTTTACCCTTTATCCTTTATCCTTTGTCCTTGATACTTTATCCTTTATTCTTTATCCTTTATCTTTTATTCCTTATCCTTTATCTTTTATCCTTTATCGTTTATTCTTTGTCCTTTGTCCTTTATCCTTAATCCTTTATTCTTTATCCTTTATCCTTTATTTTTTATCCTTTATCATTTATCCTTTATCTTTTATCCGTTATCCTTTATCCTTTAACCTTTTTTCTTTATCCCTTATCCTTTATCGTTTACCCTTTATCCGTTATCCTTGACCCTTGAGTCTTGATCCTTGATACTTCATGCTTGATCCTTGATCATTTATCCTCGATCCTTGATCCTTGATCGTTCATCCTTGATTATTTATGCTTGATCCTTGATCCGTGATCATTTATCACTGATCGTTGATTCTCGATCCTTGATCCTTGATATTTGTTCCTTAATTTTCGATCCTGGATCATTGGACCTTGATCTTTGATCCTTGATCTTTGATCCTTTATCCTTTATCCTTGATCCTTGATCCTTGATCCGTGATCCTTGATCCTTGATCCTTGATATTTGATGTTTGATCCTTGATCATTTATCCTCGATCCTTCATCGTTGATTCTTCATCCTTGATCCGTAATCATTTATCATTGATCATTTATGCTTGGTCATTGAATCTTGATCCGTGATCATTTATCATTGATCATTGATTCTCGATTCTTGATCCTTTATCCTTTATCCTTTATCCTTTATCCTTTATCCTTTATCCTTTATCCTTTATCCTTTATCCTTTATCCTTTATCCTTTATCCTTTATCCTTTATCCTTTATCCTTTATCCTTTATCCTTTATCCTGAATCCTTTATCTTTTATCCTTTATGCGTTATCCTTGATACTTGTTCCTTGCTCCTTGATCATTTATCCTCGATCCTTGATCCTTGATCGTTCATCCTTGATCATTTATGCTTGATCCTTGATTCTCGACCCTTGATCCTTTATCCTTTATCCTTTATCCTTAATCACTTATCCTTTATGATTTATCCTTTATCTTTTATCCTTTATCCTTTTTCCTTTATCCCTTATCCTTTATCTTTTATCCTTTATCCGTTATTCTTGACCCTTGATCCTTGATACTTGATGCTTGATCCTTAATCATTTATCCTCGATCCTTGATCCTTAACCCTGGATCGTTGACCTTACATCTTAAATTCCTTGATTGTTGGTCGTGTGTCAGTCTGGATATTCAAGAAAAAACGAAAAATTGCAAAACGGAAAATTGAAAAATTTGAGCTAGAAAACTCGAAAAATTGCAAATCAATAAACTGAAGAACCAAACGAAATGAAAAATTGAAGGATTGAAAAAAATTAAGAAATTAAAAAATTGAATATAAAAGTTGCAATTTTAAAAAATGCAAATCTAAACACCCAAAAACCGTAAAATCGAAAAATTAAAGAAACGAAAAATTGAAAAAAATTGAAATTGGAAACATAAGAAATTATAAGTAGGGATATAGAAGAAAAAAGTGAACATTGTAAACATAAAGAAACTAAAAAACCGAAACGAAAAATTGCAAATTGAAAATTCGAGAAATTGCAGATCGTAAAAGTGAAAAATGTATACCAGAAAATTCGAAAAATTGTAAATCGATAAACCGAAGAGACAATTTCGTCCCAGTCCAATTCTATTTTATATCTTATCGTAGCGAGTAAAAACTACAGCCGTTCGACCTGTCACATCTTGATTTTTCTTAGCCCGTTCCGATATTTACTACTTTCTTCGGTTTATTCGTTGTTCTTACTGTTATTTGTGTTGAAGGCCCTTACCGTATATTCTCTCTCAAAAACAATCAGAATCTGTCAATTTAGCCTCAGCCACCATTGATCTAACTACTTAATGAACGCACGGTATAAATATTCATTAGGTACTAATTATATAAAATTATTTAATGTGTAAAAAATGTAAAACAACAAGCTAAAACTACAACTGCTACAGCGACTACAACAGGTTTTATCAATCCTCTTATATTATTCCAACTTTTTACGTTGTTTTCATTTAAGTTTCCTGTATACCTTGCATCGTCTCCATTGGCACAAACCTCTGCCTTGAGGCCATTTATGTATTATGTAAAGATTTCTTTGCAATCGTTACACACGTCATCATTTTTTGTATCCGATTCGTCTTTAGCTTCCTTTAAGCTTAATAAACCGTACTGACTTAACTACTAACCCTGTTTCTGTTTCAGATCTTGGAGACTTGAAAAATTGAAAAATCGAGAAAATGAAATATCAAAAAATCCAAAAATCGAAAAAGTGAAAAATCGAGGAAAATTGAAGAATCTAAAAACTGAAAAATTCCAAAACTAAAACATGAAAAAATTGAGAACTCTAAAAATTGGAAAATCAAAAAGGCCACAAATGAAAAATTGAAAAACTGAGGAGTCAAAATACTGAAAAACTGGGATATCGAAAAACTGAAGAACTGAAAAATCACAAAATCTAACAATTAAAAGCTGAAAAGTCGGGAAATCGAAAAAGCGGAAAATAAAAAAATCGAAACAACAAAAAATTCAGAAAAGTCGATTTTGCGTTTTTTTGTAAAGACTGAGTACAACGTCAAAGGAAATGTTCCCCTAACGAAAACCGTCTAGGTAATAAAACAGCAATAATAATAAGTTAATAAAAATGTTTTAAAATTTTCCATGCACAAGTGTTAAAAGTCGTAATTCTTTTTCTAAAACAAGTTTTTATTGTTTTGCAATATTAAACTTAATTAACGACTTTTTCAACAAACGACAAATAAACTTCAAAATAATTTATGCAGTCGCATATTCGTGAAAATATTTAAAATTTTGGATGGGGGGCTGCCGTGTCCTTCAATAATGTTAATTATCAGTTTGATAGAATAGCCTTAGTCAATCGAAAAGTTTCATCCAACTATTCAAAAAACGATTAGAAATTGTTTGACCGGTCGATATATATTAAAATATTCAAAACAACAAAAACCCGACATAAAAAAAAAACAAGTTTTGCACAGTTTACATATCAATCTCCCCCCAAACATTAACGACTTCCGAAAAACTTGTTTATCGTGCCAGATTATAAATTGAACCTCTACTACCAAAACTTTAGTTGTTTACCTTAAACCTTTGACACAGTACTTATTACAATGAGACGCTACATTGTCTTCGCGCTTTTAGCAACCCTATCAAACTGCTCCATACGTAAATCACCCAAAAACATTCCTTCTCTCATTAAACTAATTCGGATTTCAGCCCCAAATTTCAAGAGGTGCTTCCGCAAGGACCCGAATTTCAAGAAATGCTACTCCGAAGCGGCACAGTTTGGCACCGCGCAACTTACGAAAGCTTACGAAGCCTTAGGTATACCAAACTTGGAACCTCTCCACATCCCTTTTTTAACAGTACGTGATAAAGGAGGAGTTTTCTCTGTGGACCAAATTTTCAAAAACTGCAACCTTTCGGGGCTTACAACTTTGAAATTCGATCAGATTGAGTACGTAGATTCTAAAATCAACCAGTCCAATGACACTCCGTTGTAGGCTAGATCTCGAAAAGAAGAGTTTATTCGCAGATGGCGTCATTCCAAAGGTAGAATTCAAGTGTCAATATGAACTAAACGGTAAAGTACTTCTTTTGCCTATCAAAGGTGAAGGCGACAGCAACATTACTTTCAGTAAGTACTTCCGGATTTTTGTAATTCTGGTTTTAAGTTTTTTTTTCGTAGTCAATTTCCACGCAAATTATCGGTCTTTTTATGACGAAGTTGTAAGGAATGATAAGACTTATTTTAAGACGGTTAAGTCGGAATTGGATTCGAGTGCAGAACGGTGGTACTTTCACTTTGACAATCTTTTCAACGGGAATAAGGAGTTGGGTGACAATATTAATCTGGTGATGAACGACAATTGGAAGGAAATCGCGGACGAGTTGCAGCCTGAATATAATGAAATTGTGAGACAAATACTAGAGGGTATTTTTGAGAAAATTTGGACGAAGACGTCTTTGGAGGAGTTTTTCGATTAACTTGGTGCTAACAAGAATTTATGTACAATTTAGTACTGAAGTAGTTTTTAATAAAGATTGAGGTAATGTTACACTTCAGTCTTTTTTTACTTACTTTGACTGACTACTGAGACACTAATTTGATTTTTTTTCAACGTTCCAAGACCTCTGGAATATGGTTTGTCAACCAGTAATCTAAAGAATGATTTTTTAAAGGAAGATTTGTTCTTCTTCCATTTCCGTCTCTCTGCGTTATGAAATAAGATGCTCCTATACTTGTAGTGTATGAATCGGTGTTGAGTTTTCAACCTAGACATCCAGATTTTTAAGGAAAAAAAAATCAAAATTGTATAACTTATTTTAAGGTTATAAGTATAACAAACGTTTTAAGGTTATCGTAAGAATGGTACCTAATCGTTAATTAAAATTTATTCGTATTTTACAAATTTTTGTTTCTTCAATATTTTATTTTGAAGTTTTCTTTTTATACGTTTTCCTTTTTTCATTTTTAAAGTCGAAACAATTGAAAGATAGTAAAACTGAAAAATTAAATATCGAGAAACTGAAAAATCAAAAAAACTAAAATCGAATCATTGAACAATCGAGTCAATGAAAAAGTTTCAAAATCGAATAATTCAAAAATGGAATTATTTTAAAATCGTAAAATAGAAAAAGCGAAAAATTTTACAAATTGTAATTTTTCTTATTACCTATTTAAAATGAAAAGTACATAGAAAAATTGTAAATCTAAAATTGAAGAAAACAAAAAGATGGAAAAATCGAGAAACTGATGAAAAATTGAAAATCGAAAAATTGAAAAATTTCACGTTGAAAAAAGAAAAATTATAAAATCGGAACATTGAAAAACCGAAGAATTGAAAAAATAAAGAAAATGAAAAGCTGAAGAGAAAAATTGCAATTCGAAAAAATCCAAATCTAAACATTAAAACATCCAAAAGTTGGAAAATTAACAAACTGGAAGAAACAAAAAAAAAAACGAAAAACTGAAAAATTGGAAATCGAAAAATTAAAGAAACAAAAAATTCAAAAAAATTGGGATTTTAAAGACAACGTATTATAAAATTGAAGAAAAAAGGAAAAATTGTTAAAACGAAGAGACTAAATACCGAAACGAAAAATTCCAAATCGGATAATTGAAAAATTTGAACTCGAAAACTCAGAGTTGCGTATCGTAACACTGAAGAAACAAAAAAAAAAGAAATACTAAAAAATTGGAAATCGAATAATTAAAGAAACTAAAATTGATTGATTGATTTTTTAATATTGATTCCTGGATTCTTGGTCCATAGTCTTTACTAATTGGTCATTGGCTTCTAATTCTGGTCACAAATTTTTGATCCCCAATTCTTATTCCTTGATACTTAATATCTGGTACAAGATCATTAATCGTTTATCCTTGATCTTCAACTCCTCATCTTTGATATCTGATACCTGATCTTTGATCCTTGAACCTTAATCATTAACCTGGACTTCTAAATGTACAATCCTCAATTTAATCCGAAAATATAAACACCAAATCTTAAATTCCGAATCCCAAATTCTAAATCCTGACACTTTGATTTTTATTCTTGATCTTTAATTCTTGATCCCTATTTTTTTTATCCTTAATTCTTGATACTAAACTTAATCTTTCATATTTAACACCTGATCTTTGATTCCCCATGTTTCATCCCCAACTTTTTATCCACGATACCCGATTACTTTGATAAATAATTCAGACTTCTAAATGCCAAATACTGGTTTTTGGATCTGAATCCTGAATGCAAATCTTGAATTCCAAAACCCGTATCGAATATCTAATTCAATGAATTGTCCTGAATTTTAAAATACCAAACATGAATTCTAAATAATGATTCATGACCCCCCTTACTCGTTCCTAAATTTTGGACCTAATTTCTTAAATTCCTTGATTCTTGGTCCTTGACCCTTGATTTTTGATTCTTGTACTTGATCCTGAATCCTTGATCTTAGATCCTTGATCCCTTATCCCTTATCCTTGATCCTTTATCCTTGATTCTTGATCCCTTATCCCTTATCCTTGATCCTTTATCCTTTATCCTTTATCCTTTATCCTTTATCCTTTATCCTTTATCCTTTATCCTTTATCCTTTATCCTTTATCCTTTATCCTTTATCCTTTATCCTTTATCCTTTATCCTTTATCCTTTATCCTTTATCCTTTATCCTTTATCCTTTATCCTTTATCCTTTATCCTTTATCCTTTATCCTTTATCCTTTATCCTTTATCCTTTATCCTTTATCCTTTATCCTTTATCCTTTATCCTTTATCCTTGATCCTTGATCCTTGATTCTTGATCCCTTATCCTTGATCCTTTATCATTGATCCTTTATCCTTTATCCTTTATCCTCGATCCTTGATCCTTGATCCTTGATATTTGATGCTTGATTTTTGATCATTTATCCTCGATCCTTGATCCTTGATCTTTCATCCTTGATCATTTATGCTTGATCCTTTTATTCTTTATTCTTTATCCTTGATCCTTGATCTCGTGTACTTGATCCTTTATTCTTTAACCTTTATACTTTATCCTTTATCTTTTATCCCTGGTCCTTGATCCTTGATTTTTAATTCTGACTTCTAAATGCTAAATCCTGATTCATGACCCCCGTAACTCGTTCCTAAATTTTGGACCTAGCATCTTAAATTCCTTGATCCTTGGTCCTTCATCCTCGATCTTTGATACTTGGTCCTTGATCCTCGAACCTTGATACTTGATCCTTAATCCGTGTTCCTTTATCTTTTATCCTTAATCCTTCATCCTTCATCCTTCATCCTTCATCTTTCATCCTTCATCCTTCATCCTTCATCCTTCATCCTTCATCCTTTATCCTTTATCCTTTATCCTTTATCCTTGATCCTTGATCCTTGATCTTTGATCCTTGATCCTTGATCCTTGATCTTTGATTCTTAATCCTTGATCTTTTATCCTTTATTCTTTATCCTTTATCCTTGATCCTTGATATTTGATGCTTAATCCTTGAACATTTATCCTCGATCCTTGATCCTTGATCGTTCATCCTTGATGATTTATGCTTGATCCTTGATAAACGTTCCTTAATTTTCGATCCTGGATCATTGGACCTGGATCTTTGATCCTTGATCCTTTATCCTTTATCTTTTTTCCTTTATCTTTTATCCTTTATCTTTTATCCTTTATCTTTTATCCTTTATTTTTTATCCTTTATCTTTTATCCTTTATCTTTTATCCTTTATCTTTTATCCTTTATCTTTTATCCTTTATCTTTTATACATTATCCTTTATCCTTCATCCTTCATCCTTCATCCTTCATCCTTCATCCTTTATCCTTCATCCTTTATCCTTTATCCTTTATCCTTTATCCTTTATCCTTTATCCTTAATCCTTAATCCTTAATCCTTAATCCTTAATCCTTAATCCTTTATCCTTTATCCTTTATCCTTTATCCTTTATCCTTTATCCTTTATCCTTTATCCTTTATCCCTTATCCTTTATCCTTTATCCCTTATCCTTTATCCTTTATCCTTTATCCTCTATCCTTTATCCTTTATCCTTTATCCTTTATCCTTTATCCTTTATCCTTTATCCTTTATCCTTTATCCTTTATCCTTTATCCTTTATCCTTTATCCTTTATCCTTTATCCTTTATCCTTTATCCTTTATCCTTTATCCTTTATCCTTTATCCTTTATCCTTTATCCTTTATCCTTTATCCTTTATCCTTTATCCTTTATCCTTGATTCTTGATACTTGGTGCTTGATCCTTCATCATTTATCCTCGATCCTTGATTCTTAACCCTGGATCCTTGAGCTTACATCTTGAATTTCGGGATTCTTGATCGTGTAAGTCTGGATATTCAAGAAAAAGCGAAAAACTGACAAAAAAAAAATCCAAATCGAAAAAGTATAAAATGAAAACTAAAAAATCTAAAAACTGGAAATTAAGAACTTGAAAAACTGAAAAATCCAAAGATTAAAAATTGAGAAACTTAAAAATCGAAAAAACGAAATATTGTAAAATCGAGTTATGACAGTTAAAAAATCGAAATTTGAAAAACTGAATATCTACAAAATTATTAAATAGAAAAAACCTTGAAAAAAGAACGGAAAACTAATATAAAATCGAGAAAAATTATGAGATTTGATTTTGCGAATTTTATTTTTTATAATAACCCTTATGATATTTAACACTTTTCGATAACTTTAGAATGTTGTTATCCAATTTTGATTTTCTTTTTTTAAAAATTTGTATGTCTTGTTTGAAAACTCAACACGGATTCATACACCACAAGTATAGGAAGGACTTATTTTACAAGACAGACCGACGGAGACCTATTTTTTCGTACACTATGGGTCATGAAACGTCGAGAAAACATGAAAGTGGCAAGTCGTCCGATGGACTCGAACACTCCCTTAGCTTACGCTCGGGAAATAAAAATAACCATGACTTAGCAAATCTTTCCCAGCTTAATTTAAATCCAATGTACCCACGAAGGACAAAGTTTTCAATGAAACTGTGTTTTCAACTCATTAAAAATAAAAGAAAATACTTGAACTACGCATCCACAATCATCGACAAAACCAGTTTATCCGGAAGACACGTTATATAATGTACAACCTTGCACCAGTTTCCCATTTTGACACAATGTTCCGCTTCTGTACAACGCAATCTCTGGTCTTCGTCTTCGCGTGCATCGCCTTAAGCGAGCTCAAAATCCGTAAGTCCCCTTAAAGCCGCGAATTCCTCTAATTTTTGTGCTGCAGCCCCAAACTTCAAGCGCTGCTACCGAAAAGACCCCGACTTTAGAAAATGCATGTTCGCCGCCGTCCAGCTCGCCGCCCCCCAGCTGACCAAACCCTACAGAGCCATCGCCGTACCCAACCTGGAGCCCGTGGAGGTGTCCTCCTTGCAGGTGAAGGGCGGGGGCGGCGTGGTGGCGGTGAACCAAAATTTGAAAAATTGCAAGCTGTATGGACTGACGAAATCCGAGATCTACCAGGCTGAGTAAACTTATTATTATAATTTTTTTATTTTTGGAACGCGTTTTAAAATGCGTTGTAGTTTCGACCTAGAAA